TATTAATATTTAAAATAAAAAATATATTTTTCATATTAATTTGATTTAAATTTTCAGTTATTATTTATGTGGTTTTGTTTTTTTGTTTTAATATTATTTAGGGTTCATTTTAAGGTTGAAACGTCTTTAAATTTGCTATCAAGACTATTTAAAGTCAATGTGATTCACTAAGGATAGTTATTTTCATTCAAAAGCAGAAAAGTTGGTTATTTTTTTTCCCGGAGAAACAAGCTCAAATTGACCATCATGTCCAGCTGTTGTGGTGGCCGTCTGAAAATCAAAGGCCCTAGCTGTCTCCTGTTTGATTGCAGTCCATTTTCTTCCAATCATTCCCCAAAATCATCCATTTTCTTAATCAGGGATAAAAAAAATAGATGCCCATGTAAATCTTACTGATTGTTTTTATGAATAATAAATCCTATATTTTTGGATTGTCTATCCCTCTCTCTTGTTCTACTTCAAACGTGTCCATCTGGCCCAGAGGTGACCGTCCATAACATGGCAACCCATTCTGCGCACATCAAAGCTCATGGATCAGTCGACCTGCGGGCCGCCCTGACACCGACGTCCCCCACGCTTTGATTTTTCCTCATTCTGATGAAATGGCGAATCCAGCTCTGCGGGAGCCCTGGGCTTCAGGGGCAAGTTACACCAAAACCAATGATCATCTGTAGGAGCCTGCATTCACGCTTGACCTACAGTACAGACACAAAATACGCCACATTACTCAAGCCACCATGAAATCAAATTCACAATTCTTTTCCCTGATGATGAGGGCGGGGCAACCTGTGACTCACATGAGATCCACCAATAGCAAACCACAACCAGCCAATCAATTACCTACAGACAAAATCAATTCTCGTTCCAGAACCCGTTTCACTCAGATAGACTTCAAATATAAAGAAGAAACAACTAGAGCAATATCCGTTTAATGCCAATTTTATAGCTAGAGATAAAAAAATGCCTTATAATTGTGTTGGTTAAGGTCATCAACCTTTATTAACCTTTAAAAAAACTCAACAGTTGCAAGACAAGATCAGTCAAAAATTGTACTGTAATTCGAGACTGACAGTAATTGTCCAGAAATGTATTGTTGAAGGCTGTGAATTTGTAGCTATTACTGTTGGCATGCTAAATCAAAAAGCCCTCTACAAACAAAACTCTAAATGTAGCCTATAGCCTTAGCACCGCTTCTAAAAATGTTAAAGCTAAAAACATGTAAAAAAAAACAAAAAAAAAATCTCATTAGTAAATGTAACTAAATAGCAAGCTGGTTGTTGACTAAAAAGACAGTCACCCTGACTAATCTCTATCTTAAGTCCGTCCAACTTTTGTGTGTGGTGTATTTTTATGCTATCATTAGCTTAGCAACATGCTAACTCTGTTGCGAGTCAAGTTTTATGTAAGTTTTGTTGTTTATGTAGAGTGTTCCATATTCCTCAGTTGTGTGATTTAATCTCAGTTATGATCTCTACTGTATAGGACGTAGAGCAATACAGCTCACCAGGTTTTAGGACACATCCACTGTGTCTAAAGTTGAACACAAACTTGAGGAACTCTAACAAATTCCAAATCTTGGAACGACACGTCACTGACGTGGGCATAATTTGCTGAGATGCTAGCGTCAACAAATGCTGAAGATAGCTAGTCAGATTGTTAGCAAGACAAGGGCCAATTTTACCTGGCATGTGACCTCCGGCGGCAGGAGATAAACTAGACCCGGCTCAGTCATTAGAGATTCACCAGGGCGTTTGTGTCAACAGTTGGACAGTGTGTTTCGCAATTATTTCCCAGCATCCTCTTGGGTAGGGGGCGAAATAAAATGTCATTTTGGGGATGTTTATGGGTTGTAACATTTTTAGACACTTCGTCTAAAATTATATTTTCCTACAAGGCTGGTATAAGGATCCTCAATGCAGATGAACAGAAAATAATGTTTTTTTCCAGTAGGCTACAATGACAGAAAAGGTCATCTATATTAGATCAAATGGGATGGGAGACATATTTTAGTCCTTTATTTTGAAATCTATGGAAATTAAATTTAAATGAATGCGTATAGCCTACTACATTATGCTAATTTGAGACGGATGATGCGTTATCTCAGCTGTTAACTCCCATCGGGTATTAGATCGCCAATGACAAGGTCGGTGTTCACTACATTTACACCATCTCCATCTGAAATAAGTATAATGACAGGTCATATCTTATAATCTATCTGTATTTGCTCCGTACTACTGTCCAAGCTGAAGTAGGTCACTCTCGGCTCTCAGCGCTACCATTAACAATCGCGCGTCTCTTTACCTCAGCGTTCAGGGTTGTCGTGTTGCCCGTGGGCAAAGCTGCATTAAAGCTTTTCATAGATACGGCTGTCGGAGGGGTAATGGAACCTGGTTGACATGCTCGAGTACAGACAGAAGCGGATAAAAGAGTGTTATTTACTTAGCTACCTTAACCCAGAAGAGTTCTCAGGAGGTAATATTAATAACAACGTTAACGACGACAGATGGTTAATATCAGTGTTTTTCCATCTGATGAACAATGAAAACATCGACATCCAATCAGAATCCACTCGAATTTAAAGAGCGCGAATATTTAAAGAGGCATGACGTTTCAGAATTGTCCGTTGGAGATAGAGAGAGAACAAATACATCACGTTGTTGTGGACGATATCAAATTGCCTTTTCTAAATGGACACTTTCACAGACTGCATTGACGCGTTTTTACACCTTATAACGTAAATCAAGGTTGTTTTTTTAAAATATATTTTCTATTTTTAGTTCTAATTTACACTTATAATAGTGTTTCTAATAATGGCTGAGGGAGTGACGGCACATTTGACATCTTTCTCTCTTCTGAACCAGGTAATCTCTGTCTTTTTTTCCTCTTTTGTAGTCATGAAACTGCTATTGTGATTTTTTTTTTAGCTGTTTGGAGCAAATGTAAATGCAAAAAGTATATATATATTTCCGTTTCTGTTCGCCTCTAGATGTTTACTCAACTATGATGATTATGTAAAAATCGGAAGGAAAAAGCATCCATTTTAGCGATTTACTGGATTTCGGTATGGAGATAAGGGTTAAAATCATAATCTTGGCAGAATTTGTTATTACTTTTGGGATCCCAGATAGCAAACTGACATTGAATCAACGTGGAAACATGACATCGAAACAGCGTTGATCTGACATTGTTTTGCTCATCGAATTCAAGGCCAATTTATACTTCTGCGTAGGGTGCGCGCAGTAGGTACGGCGTAGCATACGCACAGACGCGTCCCATACCGCGTACCCTTCGCCGTCGCCTGACGCGCACCTCCTCAAAAATGTAACTACACGTCGCGACGACGCGGACCGCAAGATCGGTGATTGGTTGGCTTGGTAGCATCGCATTTCCTCCTACGCATTTCCGCACGTACCTTCTCACGCATTTCCACCACTGTCTATGATTTCCACACGTTTCATCTCCTCCGAAGTCTTCTCTCATTTCTGCCTTTCAGTTTTAGTAATTTCACTAAAGTGAACTGTTTTTCTACCTTAATAAGCTCCAATTCCAACATGATCAGCTCTCTTTCACTCGTAGTAACCTAGCCGCGAGGAGTCTAAACACAGTGGAACATTAAAACTCTCCGCCGCCAACTAGCGTTTCGGAGCAGTACTGCAGAGCAACCAAGACCTGAACGCAGAAGTATAAATGCTCACAACGGCGTCGCCTACGTGCGTAGCCAACGCCGTACACTACGGCGTACCCTCGACGCAGAAGTATAAATTGGCCTTAACGTCGAACCAACGTCAGACGCGTCATTCTTTCAAAACTAACAGAACTTGAAATCAACGTTGTTTCAACGTTATGAAAGCAAACCAATTTTCGATTTTCATTTAGCTTTGAAGAATGCCGCGTCTGACGTTGGTTCAACGTTAATTCGATGAGCAAAACAATGCCAGATCAACGTTGTTTCGATGTCATGAGAGACGTCGTTTCCACGTTGATTCAATATCCAGTCCCTCCAGGATTTCACGATTTTTTTTTTGTGATTTTTGCGATCAAAATGACTGATTTTGTGGTGGTAATTTCCAAAAATTTGTGAAAAAATTTGCGATTTATATATAACATTTACCATAATAGTATTCAGTCCTTCCAGAAAAACTCTGAGATTTTTTGTGATTGTTGCGGGCAAAAATTGATTGATTATGCAGCTCGTTTTCTTTAAAAATGATATGGAATATGCAGGATATTTATGCAATTTTATGCGATGAAATTGCAGGAATTTGCAAAAATTGAGGGAACTTGTAAAAATTGCCTGCTTGATGAAAAAGAGAAAAAAAGTGATTCCCCCAACACCCTGTTCTCACTAGGCTAATGTAAGAGTCATTTCTTATTACTTCCTTTGATAAGCAAGCATACTACATCATAGAAAGTGCTGGGAATATTTAATTCCTCATCTTGTTTTATTTCAGACTGTAACGAGTTTAATAAGGTGTGGCCCCTTTAAGAGCTGTTGAACTCTCTGCAGTGTTATATGTGCGCCTCGAACACCCCATGTCTGTTTGATGCTACTTCTTTTATCTTATATTGTTTATTAAGTAACGATGTGACGGTAGAACGTGTGACAGACAGTTATACGAGTTCGATTTGTGAGATGTCAATCGCCTCCGCGAGTCTGTCTGGCGTCGCGTAATCACGTCACTTCATAACGTTCCCATGGAAACAGGGGGAAATGGCTGCTCTCGTGTGAAGCAAACGCAACATTTTTCAACTTTCTGCTAAGATACATGTGAGTTTTTTGCAACGAAAATGCGAGGATTATGAAATTATGCAAACCCCACATATTTTGCACGGAAATTGCCAATTTATGCGGCGAAAGTGCGGCGTATTTTAAAAAATGCGGCCCCCGCATAAATATGCGGACTTTGGCTGATTTTGCATTGAATTCAGCGATCGCATAATCGCGTTTTTCTGGAGGGACTGAATATCAGTTTGCTGTCTGGGATCTGATATAGACCTGGACCTGGAAACAGGCATGCATGATGTCAGACTTAACAAGTGTTACTCATTATAGCCATTTTTTCAGCTATCTTTCTAGTTGAAAATGGACGTTTAGTGGCCTAAGACCTAAGTAAATGTTCCCTCTAGCTTCTAGTATCGCCATAAATGACTCTTCAACTGTAATGACCTCAGTCAGTCGTTTGTTTGACTCAGTGTGAAGGTCACTTTCATCTTCCCGTGTTTTCCAGGCTCCGTCTGAGGTGTGAAGGCCGCTGGCCACCCGACCGGCTTCAATCCACCCGGCGTGTCAGAGCGAGTTTCCCGAGAGCTAGCGAACGGCCCGATCAGCACCCGCAGGCACATCGGCTTGACGTGTGTGTAGAGGAGCGTCGTAGTTAAGTCCGTCCAGTGACAGGGCGAATGAGGTTGAAAAGCTTCAACCTGCCAGTGACTTGACTTCCCTGTGCTTTGGAAATGGAAGTGGTTGTGTTTTGCTCGCCGTTAGCTCATTATGAACAATTTTGCATGATGAAATGCCAGAATTCTGGAAGGTTGATGAAAACCAGATAACAGTTTAGGTGCTATGTTATATTTTACAAATACATTTGATTCACAGCCTTTGTTTTTTTTTTTTTTTTTTTTTTAGATTTATTTACTAAAAAAGGAAAGGTATAAAACTTGGTAAAGGTTTTGGCACTTGCTAAACACATACACATTTTTTTTTTTTATTAAATCATTGAAAGACTCCATGGAAAGATTCATCACAGACCCATCAATGCCAATAAAGAGGGCTACCATAACTGAAGAACACGGAGGCGTATTGCATTCACTTGAAGAAAAAAAATCTACTCTGTTTTTCTGAATTAATGAGTTAATTTTTCATGAGAAAAAAAATGTGCTCTCTTTTTCTGAATGAATAAGTTAATTTTTCATGAGAAATTTTTTTCTCTGTTTTTCTGAATTAATGAGTTAATTTTTCATGAGAAAAAAAAATGTTTGCTCTATTTTTCTGAATTAATGAGTTAATTTTTCATGAGAAAAATTTTTTTTGCTCTGTTTTTTCTGAATTAATGAGTTACATTTTCATGAGAAAAAAAAATTTTGCTCTGTTTTTCTGAATTAATGAGTTAATTTTTCATGAGAAAAAAAGTTTTCTCTGTTTTTTTGAATTAATGAGCTAATTTTTCACAAGAATTTTTTTGTGCTCTTTTTTTCTGAATTAATGAGTTAATTTTTCGTGAGAAAAAAAGTTTTTGCTCTGTTTTTCAACCAAAAACAGAGCAAAAATAAAAAATAAATCCATGAAAAATTAACTCATTAATTCAGAAAAACAGAGCAAAATTTTTTTTTCTCATGAAAAATTAACTCATTAATTCAGAAAAACAGAGCAAAATTTTTTTTCTCATGAAAAATTAACTCATTAATTCAGAAAAACAGAGCAAGAAAAAATTTCCATGAAAAATTAACTCGTTAATTCAGAAAAACAGAGCAAAATTTTTTTAATGAAAAATTAACTCATTAATTCAGAAAAACAGAGCAAGAAAAAATTTCCATGAAAAATTAACTCGTTAATTCAGAAAAACAGAGCAAAAACTTTTTTTTTTCTCATGAAAAATTAACTCATTAATTCAGAAAAACAGAGCAAGAAAAAATTTCCATGAAAAATTAACTCGTTAATTCAGAAAAACAGAGTAGATTTTTTTCCTTCAAGTGAATGCAATACGCCTCAGTAGTAGAACCTTTAATCTGTATGTAAAAAATGGTTTTCAGATGTAAGTGTTATGATCTTGCATATGAAAGCCTCAAATATTGATGGTAAATAATGCACCAAATGCCATTCTTGTGCTAGTTATAGTGAACAGTTGCTATTCTATCAAGTATATCACATTCCTGTTCTGTTTCTGTCACTGGCAGTGTGATGGACCGGTGAAAATCATCGTGTAGAAACTAAGAGAGGCTGTGGGATTGCATTGCATCTCTTCAATATTCAATATCTGGTAAGTTTCTTCACTCTAGACATCGACAGCGCTTGTTGAGTCTTCAAATGCACATAATGGGAAAGTTTGAATGGTTCTCTTTCCAGATGTGGTTAAGTTATGAATTCCATACGTTTCTTTCGTCTTCAATTGACAGACTGCTCATCTGATTTTCACAAAACAAGCTGTTCTGCATTCAACGGTGGTTTCGCTGAGAGAAAGTACCTCTCGTGTTTTCAAAGTAAATGGTCTTTCACGTTCTCTTTCACTCTTTTGCATTGAAGGCAAGTCTAAAGTGCCTTTTTAGGCGTCAGAAACGTGTGCACACCGTAATGGATTATTGAAAAGCAGCCTGAGGGTGGCTGCACGAGGCCTTTGACTTGATCGGGTGAACTTTATTTTTTCCCCTTTCTTTCATTCAGAGATTCAAAGTGGTGGCACAAAGCAGTATAATTATTCTGTATTACCTCATTTTGGCTACTTTTTAAGGGCTGAGAAGTATAATCATATGCAAATGTCTCTACCTGTCCTACACCAGATTGGTTTTGTGCGTCATTGCTAACTCAGAAATCAAGTCAAGTACGCATTGCATTCTCATTGTAAAAACAGCCCTAACCCCTTGGAAACTAGACTGGAGTCCATCTTTGAATAGTTGAATAGGTGAATTCATTCCTCCAAAATGTCAAGCGAGTTGCATATTCTACAATATTTTCCTTTTTTATTAGTCGTTTTTGTCTTGTTTATGGTCCAAATATCTAAAAATTCTTAAATCAAGAGGCATTTACTTGATAAGTAAAATGAGATAAGATATTATATCTTGTTTTCTGAAGAAGAAAAAACAAAGTTAAGTTAGTTCGATCTGCCAATGGGGTAAAATAAATGTATTCAAATGGAAAACCAGATTGTTTTCTTGCCGCATTGGTAAATAATTTCGTTTGTTTTAGGCAAGGCAAGGCAAGTTTATTTATATAGCACATTTCATACACAATGGCAATTCAAAGTGCTTTACATAGGAGAAATTAAAATAATCAAAAGAAATCAGAATAATTAAAACAGTTTAGAATAAAAATAATAAAAAAATAAAAATTTAAGAAAAAAACTCACTTAACTTTGTGTTTTTTACTTCGGAAAACAAGATAATAATATCTTATGTCATTTTACTTTAAAATCAATAATTGTACCCCTTAAATCTCATATTTGAACACCAAAAGAATCTTCATGCCTTAAAATATCTTAAATGTAACTCGACACCCTTGCCTCATTTAGTATGCGCGGTTCTATGAATATGCAAATGAGCCACTGGTTTGATCTGATTGGTTACAAGGTCGTTTGTGACGTCAGAAAAACATCAGCGATTTCAAGCCGTGTCTTTGGTTCACTGCAGTTTTAAGCAGAAAATACTCGACAAATTCGAAATTAATTTGTTTAGCGAACTCTTTTCGTCACCTATTACAATGTGCAAACTACTGTCTAGTTTCAGAAATTCTCAGCTGCTATTAGACGGAGGGATGGACGTGTTCAGACAACTTTCATCAAGCTTGTATATTTAAGTTCAGTGACTCAAACTATCTCTCTCCGTTTGAGTGCCTTCCTTGCCATTCCTATCTTTCTTCTGCCTTTTGTGTGCGCAGAAGACATGTGCTGAAATGTTACACCTTTCGACAGATAAAGTGCCGTTTAATCAGCATTACAATTTAATAATTTATGCTGAAATTATTTTTGATGACTTCTAAATTGGCATGAATGGTTGGAGAAAGCGCGTCGCCATGGAAACAGCGCTGGATGTTTATTTATGAAGTGGTCCTTTGCTGTGACCAGCGAGGGTCTTTAAGCAACAGCTGCTGATGGACCGGAAGTAAACGGGTAACTGGTGTGGATAAAGAGCGCAAGAACCACTGAGCGACAGTAAAGAGGATGGCGTAGACAAAAAACAACGTGATTTATTGGAGAGTTTATATATGAAGAGTTCAGATGCAAAAGCCTCTAAGTGCCATTTGAAATTTTCTTCTAGAATGATCATTTTTATCAAGCTTCTATATTTTAGTTTAGTGATTTCACTTAAATGACAATGAAGATTACCTATTAATTGTTATTTAAGTGAAATTACTGAACTTAAATATACAAGTTTGATAAAAATCATCATTAAAGAAGAAAATTTTAAATGGCATTTAGAGGCTTTTGCGTCTGAACTCTTCATATATATATATATATATATATATTAGAGCCAGACCGATAAAGGATTTTGAAGGCCGATACCGATACAAATATTTGTTGGTTTTAAAATCCGATATTTCGATATATCGGCCGATATTATTATTATTTCAGAAACGCATAACAAAAAATTAACAGATTTCCCTAACATTAGTTATTTGTAGTTATTTATGAGTTTTAACTAAAATAATATGATAATGCATTTTAAAAAGAAACTTGTTTCTATTGTCTCAACAGAACGGAGGAACGTCAAAATATGTTGAAGTTCTGATAAATAAAATAATAAGTCCCTACATTGCTTTATAGTTATAAGCTACCTTATAATTACAATGTCAGCTTGCTTATCCCTTTACCTGCACTTTTTGACAACACTCATGGCATGGTTGAAGCATGATTCGTCCGTTTTTATTTTATTTTTGAAATATGCATTTATCGGCCATTATAACTGCCAATACCGATATTTTAGAAAATGCCTAATATCGGCCTGCCGATATATCGGTCTGGCTCTAATATATAATATATAATATATATATATATATATATATATATATATATATATATATATATATATATATATATATATAATACCAATATTTTAGAAAATGCCTAATATCGGCAGATAATATCAGCCTGCCGATATATCGGTCTGGCTCTAATATATAATATATATATATATATATATATATATATACATACTGTATAATACCTATATTTTAGAAAATGCCTAATATCGGTAGATAATATCTGCCTGCCGATATATCGGTCTGGCTCTAATATATATATATATATATATATTAGGGGTGTCACGATTTCGATATTAAATCGAAATCGATCGAAATTAATTCAATGGTATCGGAATCGAAATAAAAAATGGTATCGTTGATACTGCCACGCCCCATGTCGCGTCCGTGATGGAAAGTTCGGATCGTTTTACTGACTCTATTGTTCAATCTCGTTCATCAAAATTAACTAAACTTTTTTTCTAGTCATTTCAGGGGCTTTAAATGTTATACTATTAAGTTATGTTACTTGTTTTTGTTATATTTTAAATTTGGCAATGGTGCAGTGTACATTGTGAACAAATTTATATTGCATAATGCATAAATGTGTAGTCTAAAAATTGCATAGCAATCTGCGCTTTACATTTTTTTTTTTAATCAAGAATCGAATCGAATCGTGACCTTAGAATCGATAACTTAATCGAATCGAGGATTTGGAGAATCGTGACACCCCTAATATATATATATATATATATATACATATATATATATACATACTGTATAATAACAATATTTTAGAAAATGCCTAATATCGGCAGATAATATCGGCCTGCCGATATATCTGTCTGGCTCTAATATATATATATATATATATATACGTGTATATATATATATTTAAAAACATTGACATTTTGTTTGCTTCACTTCATAGTTATTTTTACTATCATCATCAATATATCCTGGATTTGTTCATTCACTACTGTTTTAAACTGTTTTAAAGCGAGAGTTGTGCTTCACTTGAGCTGTAAATTAACTAATTAGCTGCATAATTGGCCGATTTAAAGCTCCAATCAGTAAAGCTTTCTCTGTCAGAGGTCCTCCAGGTACCGTAAATCAGCCGTCGTTCGAGACAGCGAGAGCAGGACAGATCTGCCCAGCCGAGCGAGTAATGACTGACCGCATTAAGAAGGTCTGAGTAAAGCAAACAAAAGCGAGAGCTCTTCATATTCTTGTGATTATGCTCTGTTTCTCTCCTTCCCGCTGTGCCGAATCAGGTCACCTGTTCAAGACGCTCTTCGGGTTTGGTTTGTGTCTGAGTTTGTCCTCTTGAGCATTAGCCGAGACGTTCTGGGGTCTCCGGGTTCGTGGTGAAGAAACATGCACTTGTGACCAGCGCTGAAATGTCCGCTTTTAAAGGGATTGTTCACTTTGAAATACATTTTTGGTGTGCTTTAAGCTAAAACATATCAAAAATGAATTTCAATGTGAACTATCCCTTTTAAATGTGAATAGACTTGTGAGATGGGAGTCGAGGTTTGGATGTCGACGCTCTCGAGACTGCGGTCACACACACTGAGCAGCATGAATGCCGTGAAAAACACACTAAACGCATCTAAAACTGGAAAGAGCTTCGAGATTGACTGTACAACTAGATTTGACAAGGTGTATTTTGATTGACTCCCGAAACCTACAGAACAGAGACGCAAATGAATCCTGCAGAGAAAGGGGGATTTACAGTTATCATTTTGTGTCAAAATGACGAATTTAGATGTAAAATCATTGTATTTTTATATATTGTATTGACAACTCATCAATTAAATATTCACCATTAGGGCTGGGTATTGACACAAATTTCACAATTCGATTCACAAGCTTGCAATTCGATTCGATTCAATATTGATTACTTTGGATATCAGTTACAATAAATGGCAAATTTTTTCAAGGAAATCAAATCTCTTAAATGCTGTAAACTTTGGGAGTCTAGTTGTAGCCAATAGGCGTCATAAGCCTAATATGAAGGTAGTAATAAACTGTTTTGTAGCTATACAAACACTTAAATTACACTTTTATTTCTTTTTATAATAAGAAGATTATATGAAATATAAACATTTAAATGGTGGCTGTCACAAAAACTTGCCAGATTTATTCAAATATGCATTAAATATTGAAGAACATTAAGATTATAATGCATATGTAATATGGTGTGTATATATTTAGCAAAATGCTCCTCTCTAGAGTTATTTTTTCTATCTGACTAACGAGTTTATGTGGGTTTTCTGAGGTAAATATGACGATACATTGATTACAAGCTGTTTAACTGACGTCTTTCCACGGTTGAAACGCTGATTGAGTGAATCAATGTGACATGATACGGATTTGGATAAGTTGTACTCTATCTTTAACACACTTTCATGTTTATTTGGCGCTGTGACTGGTATTATTAAGCCGGAAGAGAGATCAGCGCTGCTGCTTCTCCAGAGCGATCTCACGCCACAGCGACAAAACGCTATTTATGTTTTTGAATTTCTCAAGAAAATGGACGTAATTTGAAAATCGAGACTTTGTTTCATATCAATAGTAACAAAGGACAAAGATTATTGCGCTTTTTTTGGATGCGCGCAGCCGCGATATAATGTCCCATTCATTCAAATGAAACAGGATGACTAATCGATTCTTGAGATTTAAGAATCGATATCGGTTCGTAAAAATGAGAATCGATTAATATCGAGAAATCGCTATTTATTACCCAGCCCCATTCACCATCGTATATTCTGCATAATTGGATGTTTTTAAATAAACACCGACAAAAAAACGACACAAGTTTTAGGGCTGGATGATGTAAGTGATCACATGGGCTTATTGTGTTTATACAAATTTGCTTTATGTATTTCCCTAGCGTCAAAAACAGGCTCATATAAATGTCAGGAAACACGATTCCTGTCTGCATTTCAATATCCATGATCACTGGATCTCATAAGAAACACTAAATCGAGTCCAACCTTTAGCTTAAACTGATAATCGCTTGTTTTACTGGTGTTTTGGCAGTTTCCCGTATTAAATCCAGTCACTGGATGAGGGAAATTGGACGCCTAAGCAGAGATGATTATGAAATGTGTGGTGATATGCAAGCGGATAAGTTGAAGCATCGCATACATTTCTGAACTGGGATCATCTTTGTTTAATAGATGAGTTGGAGAGGATAGTGAAGGAAAAGCAGCAACACGTGTCCATCAGGAATGTGATTACCCATAATGCACCTCCCGTGTGTTTTCATGGTACAATCACTCACAGCTTAACTGCATAAACTGCAGCTACACGCCAGCTGTTTCCAACTTCTCCTGGAAACACCCCAGATGGCCGGGCGAGAAGTGCGAGTCGTGTTTGATGCACTGCCGCCATAAAGCCTGATTTCACACCGGTCGAGTTTCCACGACCTTCCCCTGCTGTCGGTCCATCCCAGCCTGAAGCCAGGCTTTACATAACCAGCTATAAACGCTGGCCTCCACATTAACACTTAACACTAGGGGTTTTTAGAGTCTGATTAAAACGTCAATACCACAAAAAATAAGTAGAGAATCTAATCACCAAACCATGAGAATGATTCAGATTTTTTTTATATCTAGCGTAAGTGACGAACGATAGTGGATAATACTGACGCTAAACTAGCATAACTGAAGCGGTTAGAAGAAGCAGAACGAGATTCGTTGAGTAAATAATGTTACCTTGACAACCCCGCTTCATCTTCCTCTCACCGGGAGATGCTCCACACATCTGTCCCGGCCGATAGGCTCCGCCAGCTGAAGCCGCCGCGGGCCGCGAGTCTCCGGACCCTGAGGACCAGCACAGCTATTGTTCCAGGGGTCCGGCTGGCCAGCAATGCTAATGCTAGCGTGACATCTCGTCTCCAGCGGGGACGTTCTGAGAGCCGGAGATAAGGGCCCGCACGGGGAACATGGCTTCTGAGAGGCTCAAACACACCCTGGGTGATGTCAGACTAACCCTTAACACTGAATATGCATTCGGCTAACGGGAACTCTTTGGCTTTTACACAGCGCGCGGCATTAAGCTTTGTCGTGTGTCAACTGAATCAGTCATTCACTTTTCTCAATAAAAATGTTGCTTGTGCGGGAATTTTGAATTTTGAATCTTTTGGTCAAATATAAACAAAATGTTTAGGTAACACTTTATTTTGATAGTCCACTTTAGACATTCAACTTACTATTAGTAACTTTGCCGCTACATGTCAACTAACTATCATTAGAGTATTAGTAGACTGTCTGCTTAATATCTGCTAACACTTTATTTTGTTGGTCCCCCAACAGATTTTCTACTGACTGTAAGTAACTTAGCAACTACAAGTCAACTTGTTCACCTAACCCTAACCTGACAGCCTACTAATACTCTAATGACACTTAGTTGACATGTAGTTGAAAAGTTACTTATAGTTAGTAGAATGTCTAAAGTGACTATCGAAATAAAGTGTAACCAATGTTTAAATGACATTTTTAACGTCAGGGTTTCTCCATATTTGACCCAAATTTGGGTTAAAACAACCCAGTATTTTTCAAAGTGTAATTTATGTAAACAAAAAAAAAAAACTTTCTATAATAACAATAATGCACACTGTATGTTGCTGTAGAAAATCTTTTGAGACATTTTTATAGTTTTCAATATTTTGCTGTTGCGTATTATTTTTCTGAGGATTGAATCTAAAATGACTAGAGCCCGACCGATAAAGGATTTTGAAGGCCGATACCGATACAAATATTTGTTGGTTTTAAAATCCGATATATCGGCCGATATTTTTTTATTTTAGAAACGCGCAACAAAACATTAACAGATTTCCCTTACATTAGTTATTTGTAGTTATTTATGAGTTTTAACTAAAATAATATGATGATGAATTTTGAAAAGAAACGTTTGAAGGTCGATACCGATACAAATATTTGTTGGTTTTAAAATCCGATATTCCGATATATCGGCCGATATTATTTTATTTTTTTATTTTAGAAACGCGCAACAAAACATTAACAGATTTCCCTAACATTAGTTATTTGTAGTTATTTATGAGTTTTAAGTAAAATAATATGATGATGCATTTTGAAAAGAAACGTTTTCTTGAAAGAAACGAAAGTGGCGTTAGCTAGCTTTGTGGTTAGCTAGTCTATGATGAGCCATAATTTAGCAATGGATTGTCACACTTCAAATTGTAAAACATACATTTTCAATATAACAGGCCAAGGAGAGATGATTCGTCTCATTGCTATAACTATTAAAGAAATACTTCAGTCACATTGTCAAACGTTAAAAGGACAGTCAGTCAACTACACTGTAACAACGTAACATACAGTAACTATTATGTTTATTATTTTATTTTATGTTTGAAATATTCATTTATCGGCCAATAACTGCCGATACCGATAGTCTGGAAAATGCCTGATATCGGCCGATAATATCAGCCTGCCGATATATATCGGTCTGGCTCTAAAAATGACATCAAAACAACATTTTAGATAAATGTTAAGCATATCTTAATTTCTGTGCCATTACCGTTGGTGTTAATGTTAATAAATGCAATTATGTCGTGTGTTTTCTCCCTTAGTTTTGGCTCCAGAGGACCGTTGATGGACTACTTGGGTCGCCGACGGTGAGTAAATGATTTTGTGTTAATTTATTCCATTAACTTTTTCGCACCTGGATCGTATTGGGTTCCTCATATGTTCCCGGAGCGCTCCGCTATCCTGTTCAAGTCTCAGAATATGATTGAAAATCCACCAATTGAGCAGGTGTCTCCTGAAACCACTCTTTCTTATGAATTTACTGGTTAAGTGGGTTTGCCAGGCATGACAGTGGTGGTTTTCTCGTCCTCTCGGGTGTAATGGATAATTCCGAACCTAGCGGTTTTTAATATTGCATTTCCGATATTAAACACTTCGTCAGCTCACTGCCTGGAGGACAGACACTACTATGACAGATGATAAAAATTTCCTGCTGGTTAAAAATGCAGGAGACAGTGTCTAGAAGCCAGAGGTGACGTGTTCAGGCTTGCACAGTCCATCCTCAGGGGTCTGCTGTTCAGATTATGCCACGGTCTGTGTGTGTGTGTGTATCCACCTCTGGGGTTTGAGATGTAGTCCCGCTGAGCTAAGCACAAGGAGATTGGATGGAGTTATTGTTGGAGTGGTTCATTGTTTAGACGGCTAATAAAAGAGTCCACTCAGCTGATGTTGCTAATCAGGTGTGAACAGCTCCCTTTTTCTGTTTCAAGGGGTGCCCTTTTCACAAGATGTAAAATGAGTGTGTGAAGATTTAGCTCTAAGATATTAAAATTGTCAGTTTTATTGAGGGTGAGCAAAAAAAATGCCGTTTTTGTGCGTGTCCCTTTAAATGCAAATGAGCTGCTGCTCCCAGTGCAAGGGGCGGAGCTTCAAGAGCTCCGTTTACCTCAAACTTTTAGCCTTTTATATTCAAACCAGCGCTATCTCATGACCAATTCGTATAAATTTGTACGAGTGAGTAAATGTGACTGATTCGTACGAATTCATACAACCTCACTCGTACGAATTCGTACAATTTGTCTAAACCCCAGTGACAGTTAGGTTTAGAGGCGGGGTCAGGTCAGGGGTATGTCATTCATACGAATTGGGCAACTTTTTTTTTACATTTTTTTTTTTATTATTAATCTTTATTTAATAAGAAATACACTTTACGAACAGAAACTACATGCTTATACATTCATCCTCACATTCAAACCCCAAAACATACATGAGAAAAGATAGACACACTTTACAAATATATTACGACAGAAGAATAAATATGATATGTAAAAGATCGGAAAAACTACAAAATTTCATATAATTATAATACACATAGAATATTACTCAATTTTTTATTATATTCATCCATTTTATTTTATTTTTATCTTTTCCAAATGAAGATGTGACCTTATAAGATTCCTAAAGGGATCCAAACACAAGCTCGATGATGTTTTTGTTTTAAAAATAAACATTTTCCCTATTAATAAAATGGTATTTAACAAAAGAAAACTACCTGTAAAATAACCAAGTACAATCGTTTGTGGTGTTATGGTAAGTTCTGTTCTATTCGTCTTTAACCAGACTTGGACACTTGACGAATTGGGCAACTTGTAAAAAATGTACGATTTAGCAAAAATCATACGAATTGTCGTGAGATCGTAATTTATGTTTCCGGGGGCGGGGTTTATGTTAATTTTAGAAGCTCATTGTAGTTCAATGTAAAGACGCGTTTACGCGCATCTAGAGGTCCTGCGGTGCGAATGATTTCAATGTTAAGTCAATGTAAAGGCATTTCGCGCGATGTGATCGATGCGAATTCGCCTTAATCGCGCGTCCAGTTAGTTGAAAAATGTAATTTAATTAATAAAGCAGAGAAGCTACTCTTCATCAAGAAAAACCTGCCACTTTACCTCAAGAAGCACTTGTTCTGAATGCACTTTCTTGTTGTATGTGCAGGCAAAAGTGAGGCAAAAATGTAAAATGCGCTTTGGTGGCCATTGGGTCTGTGAAAGCGCTATATAAATGCAGTCCATTTACCATTTAGTAGTCCAACAGAGAAAAATGTCAAATGCACTTGACGTAAATGCACTTTGTTTTTATGAGAGAACATTTCATTTTAAAACCTCATTTATACTGTGCATTGTTGCAATGGGCTAAATACATATTTGCATAATTTCTTTGAAACTTTATGAAATGTATGCAATTGCAATGCCTTGATCTTAGTAAAGTTAGTACACATTCATAAATGCAATGGTACTAATAATTGGCATAATTTCTTTCGGTTTTCGGCCTTGGTTTCCTCTTTTTTTCGATTTTTGGTGCATCCCTAAAAATCAGGTGCTTGGACACTTCAGTCACACCTTAAAAAAAAGTCATTGCACTAGATAACAAAATATCACACAAATTGTCTGTAAATGTGATTTTCACAGTTAGCTAACAATTTCTGATGATGGTGATTTTTAATTGATTTATGAAGTCAATTTCCGCCATTAAACGCAATCATTTGGTTTTAAGTTGAAATGGCATTTCTTCATGAGATTCACTGAAGTTCACTAAAGCTAAGCTATTATAGACTTGTGATAAGTAGCATGCTAGCTGAAGAACCCACTCTATATCATAATTAAAGTTTGAAGAACACAATAAAAGCCACTTAAAGGCATTCACCTCTAAGATTGCGGCACGCATGTGCTTTGTATTTTTAGCTACCTGACCTAGTAATTGCTAGTTATGCAATGTGCACTTTCTTTGAAAACGTGTGTATATATATATATAATGTAAAGCTAGCACTCCAGAACCCCTGCCTGCCTCCCGTATATCACTTCTCAAGCCGTACCGAACGTGTCAAAGGTCAACTGACTAAGCAACGGGCCGACGAGGCCTAACCCGAACCTCCTCTCAGTCCCGTGGATCCTTCTCATCGAGTGTTTTTCTCAACTCCCACCACGCCGAATGTCATCTCCACTCCTGCTCTCTGACACGATGTGTGTGGAGCAGTGAGACAGCGAGTCATTAACGTGTCGAGCGAGCGAGGACTGCGACACCTGTGTGGTGCGACGGACCCGCGGCGCTAATTGCTGCAACAGCAACTCATAAATTAGAGGGCAGGGTGAGGGTGTGAAGGACGGATTCAACAGCTCTGGCCTTTCACGCCGCATGAACGAGCCAATCATTGGGAAGCACAGATATGCTTTCTGAAACGAAACGCTATGATAGAGAGACCAGACCTCCTCTCAGTCCCTTGGATCCTTCACTACATGTGTGTTAGAGAGAGAGAGATATAAATATCAGGGATGCAAAGAGCAAACTTTTCGGTGCCTCCTGCTTTTTTCACATCAGTTTGGTTTACTAATGTGAATGATTTTTTGTTAGTGGGGGGGGGGGTGATATGGATAGATAGATGGATAGATAGATGGATGGATAGATAGATAGATGGATGGATGGATGGATGGACAAATAGATAGACAGAAAGACAGACAGATAGATAGACAGACAGACAGACAGACAGATAGATTGACAGATAGACAGATAGATAGACGGATAGACAGACAGATAGATAGATAGACAGACAGACAGACGGACGGACGGACGGACGGACGGACGGACGGACGGACGGACGGACGGACGGACGGACGGACGGACGGACGGACGGACGGACGGACGGATGGATGGGTGTGATGGATGGATGGATGGACAGAAAGACAGACAGATAGATAAACAGATAGATAGACAGACAGACAGACAGACAGATAGATAGATAGATAGATGGATGGATGGATGGATGGATGGATGGATGGATGGATGGATGGATGGATGGATGGATGGATGGATGGATGGATGGATGGACAGAAAGACAGACAGATAGATAAACAGATATATAGACAGACAGACAGACAGACAGACAGACAGACAGACAGATCGATAGATAGATAGATAGATAGACAGACAGACAGACAGACAGACGAGACAGACAGACAGACAGACAGATAGACAGACAGATAGATAGATAGATAGATAGATAGACAGACAGATAGACAGATAGACAGATAGATAGATAGACAGACAGACAGACAGACAGATAGATAGATAGATAGATAGATAGATAGATAGATAGATAGATAGATAGATAGATAGATAGATAGAAGACTTGAGTGATAATACACTCTTCTCCTCACTCTTCTCTCTGTGTGTCCTGTAAGTGTTGCGGCACTCAAGGGTCATCATGAGACGAGGCGTCCTCAATCCAGTAACACCGCGAAAGAACAACTAATGATGCCGTTCACACAAGTACTTTCACTGAGGTTTCCGCGCACTGCAGAGATCACGTCATGCTAATAATATTTCACTGATATGGCAGTTCTCTATCCCTCTTAATCTCTCACAGCAAGGGTTGTTATGAAGGAACCCACGAGAGAACCTGCTGATTTTACCAAGGTGAACGGTGATCAGAGCCCAGTAATAATTCAAATTTATTCATATAGCGCTTTTCTCAATACATATTGTTTCAAAGCAGCTTTACAGACAGTGAATTTCAAATATGTACATCGTTTGCAATCACCATTGCACAAATGGCTTCCTCTTGTTGCGGAGTAAAAGGGGCCATCTTCCGCCTCTGCAAGGTTGTCTTTTGATTGCATTTGATGCATGACCAAAAGCACTTGCAATTTGTTGGAGTGAATGAGAAACTAACTGTAATGTGCACAACAGTGATGTGAGAAATGCACCAAAGTGACTGAGAAAAACTAATAAAATACGTTTTTAAAATAAATTATAATTACTATTATTATCATCAAAATATTAATAATTATTTGGATGTGGCTCATGCAATCAAATATATCAATGTGACCTCGTTTTGAACTTTCTCTTGGAATGGAATGTTTGACATCAGCACAAACGTGGAGATATGAAAGATGATGTTGGGAGATCGTCATGACGACCAATTAGAACCCATTACCTGAAACAATGCGCTGTGTCAAGCGCTCGGCAATTAGTAGCGTGCAGTAATTAACTCTGAGCTATTCTGGACGGACGCCTGCTACGAAATCATGCAAATGTTTTTCTTCATTAATAGCGGAAATAATCCCAGAGGTGTGTTTTTATCCTTCACGCTATC